AGCACCCCCAGCAGTACTTGAGTCACCAGCAACCTCGACCGGCTCGACTGCATCTACCTGGGACACACCTAAAGGGGCAGGACCCTGAGGGGGAAGGGGGTCTACCGGGGGGGGACCTGGCACAAGGAAGTGCGGTGGCGGCGGGAGGGAAGGAGTGCGGTAGGGGAAGAGGCGGTAGAAGGGGACGGACTCGTCGAACGTGACGTCCTGGGAGGACAGAACACGGCGAGAGGTGGGGTGGTAGAACTGCCACCCAGGGGCGTCGGGGGGGAACCCCAGGAAGACGCAGGGAGCAGCGCGAGGGGACACCTTGTCCGCAGACAAGTCGCGGACAAACGCCCGAGATCCCCAGACCCGGAACGCCGACGCATCGCCAACCTTCCCCGTCCACAGCAGGGTTGGGGAGGTCTCCGGCCTGGAGACCCTGGGGTGGAGGTTGATTTGATGCGCCGCGTACCTGACCGCAAACGGCCACAGAAAATGGGGGGCAGCCGCATGCATCATAGACGTACGAGCGACGTCCATGACCATGCCAATGCGGCGCTCTGCAATCCCATTTTGCTGCGGTGAGTCCGGAAGCGTGAAGGTCTGACGGATGCCTCGCGCACGTCAGTAGGCACGCAGAAGGCCAGAGGAGAACTCTCCGCCTCTGTCCGAGTGCAGACGCAACACAGGAAAGTCCGAGCCAAAGCTCTGCCTGAGCTGGAGACGAGCTGCGCGGATCCAGTCGATCAGCACCTCAGTGACATCACCCTTGCTGCGCAAGGGGAAGACCGCGGTGTAACGCGAGTAGTCGTCAACCACCAACAGGAAGTAGCGCTCGTGACCGAGTCCACGGACGCGGGCAGGGCCCCACACGTCCATGTGAAGCGTCTGCAACGGAGCCCCTGTCGGAGGAAACTGGGAGGAGTGAGGGGCAGCACGCTGGCGTCCCTCGACACAGGGGACATAGGCACGGCCAGGGCCCTGAGGAAGGGGAGGGAGGGACCTGGGGAGACCAGAGACAAGGAGACGGGAGGCCATGCCTCTGAGCCGAAGCAGAGAGGGGTGACCCAGGCGGTGGTGCCAGAGGAGAGTCTCGTGAGACAGGCGACGACACGAACAGGGGGCAGACTCAGGACCAGACCTGGACGCTGCAGCAAACACCTGACCGGACGAAGGGACCCTACCAGACTCAGGAACTAGAGGAGAAGGAGTGGTCAGTGTGTACAGGCTCGACCCTGGCTGACGTGTAAACGTAGCCAGGTGACGACCCGTGCTAGCCTCTGTGCAGTGCGTCACTCGCTGACGAGCAGGGTTGAACTGGTGGACTCCCGCATCCTGTAGGTCAGCACCACTCACCAAGTTCGTAGAGAACGAGGGGAGGTAGAGACCAGACAGGGTGCCAGAGGGAGCCGCCGGACACAGAAGGACTGTGGAGAAGCGAGATAGGACAGGACCCCCAGAGGGGTCAGCCAGGGACACCGCAACCGGCCGACTAAGCGGCGTGAGTGTGGTGCGGTCCCGAAAGAAGGAGCGAGACGCCCCAGAGTCAAGGGTGGAGGTGTGGGAGGCAGAGGCCGACGCAGTACCTGAGAGTGCAGACTCACCAGTACCTGAGAGAGCAGCCTCACCAGTACCTGAGAGCACAGACGCACTGGCACCTAGAGCAGCAGCCTCAATGCCCGGGTCGGGCGGGAAACACCGGTAACAGTCACCCTCATCACTAACGGTCACAGCATACATAGCAGCAAGGATAGCATCAAAGTCAAGATCAAAAATAGCTACACCAGCCCTAGACAGCTCTCCCCAGCGGGGGATCTCCGCGGCCTCCGGGAATTGCTGGCGCCAAGCGTCCGTCAGGCAGCCAAAGCAGCGCTGGGCGGAGTGGGTACCCCCACACTGCTCTCCAGCGCGGTCGCCAGTGCGAAGAACGTAGGTGCAAGGACCAAAACTCCCACCCCACCTCCACCGCCACCCCCACTCCCTCCGCCGCCTCCACCTCCACCTCCACCGCCCCCGCTGGTCCCACCCGCTCCCTTGCCCCCCTTGCCCTTGCCAGAGCGGCGTCTCCCGCTAGGGGCAGACGCCGCACCGACCGACTCAAGACCAACGAGGTCGGCCGCAGCGGCAGAGGCTACAGAGGGCAAGAGAGGGGAAGGAGAACACCCCTCAAAGATGGGGGCGCGGGGGTCACCTCGAGTGGCTCCTACAGCTACGATGCTCTTCTCCGCCGCTAGGAGGGCCTTCTCGAGGCTGTCGACTGTGAGAGTGGTGGGACAGACCGCGAGGAAGTGGTCCCGGACTACACGAAGGGAGTCAGGGAGACGAGTGACTAGAAAGTAGAGAGTGATGTACATGGGAGGAGGGTTCTTGGCGCAGAAGTCAGCAGGAAGCGCAGCGCGGTAGCGGGTGTCACTAGTGCGGAGGTGCGTAATAAGATCAGCGACAGTGGGAAAGGCGGCAAGGTCAGGGAAGAGGAAGGGGAGCATGAGGCGGCTCAGTGCAGCAGTGGCAGGGGAGGAGTAGCGCGCAACTACAGCGTCGTACAAGGTCTGGGCGCTCTTGTACTGACTAAAGTGTGCACGCTCAGCGATAGGCAGGTGGCGACGCACAGCAAGACGTGCAGCAGCATCGCGTGTGGCCCACTTGGAGCGAACAGTGGGGTCAGCATCAGCAGCAGGGGCAGGGACGGCGCCAGAGGTAAGGTCAAAGAGAGAAAGGTCGTCTACCCTATCGCACTGCAAGAACAGCTGCAGGTCGTCGACCCAGACCTCAAAGTCAATGGCGCGGCCCTCAGCGTCAAAAGTAAGGACACTGGGGGTAGCCATGACAGCAGGCGACGGTCTCACCAGACAGGACGGGTTGGGCAGCTCAGTAGCACAGCAACACGGCAACACAGCAGCTTGGTCGGCCCAGCAGCAACAGCAGCTCCGCGGGACCAGCGGCTCGGCTCCTCAGGCGACTCGGGCGGCTCGGGCGGCGCAGGCGGCTCGGGCGGCTCGGGCGGCGCGGGCGGCTCAGGCGGCTCGGGCGGCTCGGGCGGCTCGGGCGGCTCGGGCACTCAGCGGCACAGGCGGCTCGTGCGGCTCGGCTCCTCAGCGGCGCAGGCGGCTTGGGTGGCTCGGGTGACGCGGGTGGCACGGGCGGTTGGGTGTCACAGCGGCGTACGGGCGGCGTGGGGCCGGGACGGCGGCGTGCGGTAGGGACAGGTGGCGCACGGGCGGTGCGGGGCCAGGTCGGCGGTGCACGGCTGGGACGGGTGGCGCACGGGCGGCTGGGAGCGGGGCCGGGACGAGCGATGCACGGGCGGCTTGGGGCCGGGACGGTGGCGAGGGGCCAGGACGGGCGGCGCACGGGCGCCGAGGGGCCGGGACGGCTGTGCGCGGCGGGGATGGGCGGCGCACGGGTGGCGTGAGGCCGGGACGGGCGGCGCACGGCGTCGACGGGCCAGAACGGGCGGCGCGACGGCGGCGTGGGGCCTGACGGGCGGCGCACGGGTGGCGCGAGGCCGGGACGGGCGGCACACGGCGCCGACGGGCCGGGACGGGCGCCGCACGAGCGCCTAAGGGTGGCGCGACGGCGGCTCGGGGCCTGACGAGCGGCGTGCGGGCGGCTAAGGGCGGCGCGCGGGCGGCGTGGGGCCTGGACGGGCGGCGCGCGGGCGTCTAGGGGCCGAGACTGGCGGCGCGCGGGCGGCTAAGGGCGGCGCGCGGGCGTCGAAGGGCCGGGACGGGCGGCGCGCGGGCGTCTAGGAGCCGTAGGGTAGGTCGACAGAGAGAGAGAGAGAGAGAGCCCGGAGCGCGCTCCGGGCAGGAAAAAAAAAAAAAGTTCGAAGTGGTGGGCCCTAAGCACAGTTCCCACAGGGGAACCTGCTCTATACCATGTGAATAATAGAACGAGAATGAATGAACTATGAGTGAAGTGGGTACAAGTACTAACTCTAATTGGGTTGTACCCCCTATGGGATACCCCACTATAGCCTACACAAAAGCATAAGCTATAATATTCTGACACTGCCCTCCCGGCCTGTCGTGGCCCTGCCCTAATGGTCCGTCGCGGCCCTGACCTAGCCGCCCGTCGCGGCCCTACCCTGTCGCCGCCCATTGCGGCCATGCCATGTCGCCGCCCGTCGCGGCCTGACCCAGCCGCTCATCGCGGCCTGAACCAGCCGCCTGTCGCGGCCCTGCCTTGCCGCCACCCATAGAGGCCCTGCCCTCAGCCGCTCGTCGCAGCCCTGCTCTACCGCCGCCCCGTCGCGGCCCTGCCCTGCAGCCGCCCTATCGCGGCCCTGCCCTGTTGCCGCCCCGTCGCGGCCCCACTCTGCCACCTCGTCGTGGCCCTGCCCTAACCGCCAGTCGCGGCCCTGCACTGCACCCGCCCCTAGTAAACGCCCGCCCTGCCAAGCGCGTCGCTGCGCCTGCCTGCCTGCCACGCCGTGCTGCCCAGCCGAGCCGCGATGCCCTGCCGAGCCGCGACGCCCTGCCGAGCCGCGCCGCCTTGCCCTACTCCTACTTATGCTGCTACTGCCGCCATAGCTAGCCCTATTGTTCTTACCTTCGATGTTGAGGGTCGTGCGGTCGATTTTGAAGTTTGGGTAGATGACTTGCAGCTCTAACTTCAGTGCGACTCTGGGGACGGAGTCTCGCATTTCGATCACACGTCCGGCGCCTCTGTTCCACCTGCTGCCGATGCGGACAGTATGGTTTGCTCGCAGTGGACTACTCGTGACGTTGTTGCTCACCTTGCTGTTCATAGTCACCTGTCGTCTACTGAGCGCACATACTTTGGCAAGTACAAGTCTGCTAAGTCTTTGTATGACGCTGTCGTCGCACGCTACTCTTCCCCTGCCACTGCTGCCCTTAGCCGCCTCATGCTGCCGTACTTGTTGCCTGACCTGGCCGCCTTTGCCTTAGTCGCTGACCTCATCACTCGCCTCCGCACTAGTCACACCCTCTAGAGCGCTGCGCTTCCCTCCGAGTTTCACGCCAACAACCCCCCCCCCCCCCACCCCCCCCTAAATGTACATCACCCTCTTCTACCTCGTCACTCGTCTCCCTGACTCGCTTCGCTCAGTTAGGGACCACTCTCTCTCCCTTTGCCCCACCGAGCTCACTGTCGACCTGCTCGAGGAGCGCCTCACTGCAGCTGAGACTAGCATAGTCGTTGTAGGAGCTTCTCGCGGCGACCCTCGCGCCCCTTTCTTTGAGAGGTGTTCCCCCGTTCCCCTTTTGCCCTCTGTTGCTTCTGCTGCTGCTGTCGACCTCGTTGGCATGGAGGAGGTTGGGCCTGCGTCTGCTCCTAGTGGGAGGCGCCGCAGCGGCAAGGGCAAGGGGAGCAAGGGTGGTGGAGGGGACGGCAGGGGCGGCGGTGGTGGCGGTGGAGGAGGCGGAGGGGGTGGGGGTGGAGGTGGGGGTGGTGGCGGGAGTGGGGGCGTCGGTGGCGGCGGTGGAGGTGGGGGCGGCAGCGGCAGCGGTAGTGGGGGTGGCGTCGGCGGTGGTGCTGGTCGGGGTGGAGCCGCGCAGCGTGGAGGCTTTGGCGGTAGCCAGCGACAGCAACAGCCGCGTTCCTGTGAGGCCCCGTCGCCCCAGCAGCTTTGTGAGTGGTACGCTGGGCGTGGGAGGTCTGGGGGTGCTGGTCCATGCGCTTACGTTCTCCGCACCGCTGGGCGCCATGGGGAGACGTGCGGGCTGCCACACGCGATGCAGCGATGTTTCGGTCGCCTGTCTGATGCCTGGCGTGCACAGTTTCCTGACGCCACTGAGCTCCCTCGCTTGGCTGATCTGCTTAAGTCTGGTGTTGCTATCTTTGATCTTGATTACGATGCTATCCTTGGTGCCATGTATGCTGTGACTATTAGTGCTGAGGGTGACTGTTACCTGTGTGTGCCGCCCGACTCAGATATAGAGGCTGCTGCTCTAGGTGCTAGTGAGTCTACTGCTCCAGGTACTGGTGAGTCTGCTCTCTTGGGTTCTGCGCCTGCTGAGGCCTTGCACACCTTCACGCTTGACTCAGGTGCTTCCTGCTCCACCTTTCGCGACAGCACCACGCTCACGCCGCTAAGTTGGCCGGTTGCTGTCTCCCTGGCGGACCCCTCTAGGGGCCCAGTCCTTGCGCACTCTTCTATGGTTTTGCCATTCCGGCGGTCCCGTCTGGCTCACTGTCGGGTCTTCACCCCCCCTCGTTCTCTACGAACTTGGTGAGTAGAGCTGACCTCCAGGACGTGTGGGTTGACCACTTCACTCCTAAAGGTTAGCGCATGACCCACCGTACGTATACTCAGACGGGCCGCCACCTGGCCACGTTCACCCATCGACCTCGGTCGAGCCTGTACACACTGACTACTGAGTCTCCTCCGGTTGCGGAGTTTGGTCAGGTAGCCGCGTCTAGTCAGGTGTTTGCTGCCACGTCCAGGTCTTGTCCGGAATCTGGGGCTGCTGAGCCTAGGGGTGCTGAGCCTCACTCCTCCGAGTTCCCTCCGACGGAGGCTTCCCTGCAGACTCTCCACATGGACGTGTGGGGCCCAGAGCGCGTCCGTGGACAGGGTCACGAGCGTTACTTTCGGCTGGTCGTTGGCGACTACTCGCGTTACACCACAGTCTTCCCCTTGCGCCGCAAGGGTGAGGTCACTGAGGTGCTGATCACCTGGATCCGCGCTGCCCGTCGCCAGCTCTGCGAGGGTTTCGGCTCGGACCTTCCTGTTCTGCATCTGCACTCCGACAAAGGTGGAAAGTTTTGTTCCGACCTTTTGCGGGCCTTCTGTCATGCGGAGGGCATCCGCCAGACGTTCACGCTTCCGACCTCCTCATAGCAAAATGGGATTGCTGAGCGCCGCATTGGCATGGTCATGGACATCGCTCGTACGTCCATGATCCATGCGGCTGCTCCCCATTTTCTGTGGCCGTTCGCGGTTCAGTACGCTGCGCATCAGCTCAACCTCCAACCCCGTGTTTCCATCCCGGAGACCAGACCTGCTCTGCGGTGGACGGGGAAGGTTGGCGATGCGTCAGCGTACCATGCCTGGGGATCTCGAGCTTTTGTCCGCGATTCTTCCGCAGACAAGCTGTCCTTCCGTGCTGTTCCCTGCGTCTTCCTTGGCTTCCCCCCTAACGCGCCTGGTTGGCAGTTTTACCACCCCACCTCGCGTCGTGTTCTGTCCTCTTAGGACGTCACGTTTGACGAGTCGGTTCCTTACTACCGTCTCTTCCCCTACCGCACTGCCCCTCTCCCCCCCCCCGCCGCTCTTCCTAGCACTAGGTCCTCCGGTAGACCCCCTCCCCCCTCAGGGTCTTGCCCCCTCAGGTGTGTCCCAGGTAGACCCTGTCGAGCCTGTGGAGGTAGTTGTCAAGTCTGGTGCTGCTAGGGGTGCTGAGCCTGCAGGTGCAGGGCCCGGGGGTACTAGTGCTGTCTCTGCTGGTTCTGTTGGCGCTGCGCGCCTGCGGCCGTACTTCGTTCCACTCCTTCAGCAAGTTCTTGGTCTCCCGTCTTCTACTGGTCCTACTGCTCCCTTACTGTGTCCACCGCCTGACCAGTCGCAGTCGCAGTTACAGCCAGCTTCCCTACTGCCTGGTCCTTTTCCTTACACTGGGCCGACCGGAGGTCTTGCTGAGCGTCGTGAGCCTACATCTTGTCCTGCGTCGCTTGTTCGCGCTGCTCGCACTAGTCGTCGTGTTCCGAGTCCGTGTCCACCTCCTGTCCCCGGCACGCACCAGATGGCACTTCGTCCTTCCTCTGTTCCATTGCGTGTCCCTCTGCCGTCTCATCGTACGTCCTCCCTTGCTGACGATCCGGACCCCGAGTCTGACTCACTTCGTGCTGCTAGCCCACTGTCATGCGTCTGCTAGCTACTGTTGTCACTGACCCTTCCTTTGAGTCCACTGCTGCGTCTGCCTTAGTTGCTGAGCTTGTCTACTTTGTTGCTCGCTATCGTCTCGACTACGCCGCTAGTCTTGTTTCTGAGTCTCTGTCCTCCGTCTGTCGGGGGTGAGTGTGCAATTGGCGCGGACGTCCTTGAGGACAGGCAGGAGGACTTTGAGTGCTTTGCAACTGCTGTACCTCATCTCATATCCATGTTGATAGCACCTGAGGGAGACTCGGATGCACCAGATATCCCGACCCCGCGCTCTTGCGCAGAGGCAATAGACGGTCCCTACTCCTCCCAGTGGACGTCAGCCATGGAAGCAGAGATGGCATCCTGGAAGTCCACAGGCACTTACGTCGACGAGGTTCCCCCTCCTGGGGCCAACATCGCAGTGGCATGTGGATTTTCAGGGTGAAGCAGCCGCCGGGTTCTCCGCCTATCTTCAAGGCGCGGTACGTTGCACGAGGCTTCAATCAGCGACAGGGAGTTGACTTCTTCCAGACCTTCTTCCCGACCCCAAAGATGACCACTCTTCGGGTTCTGCTGTACGTCGCCGCTTAGCGTGACTACGAGCTTCCCTCTCTTGACTTCAGCACTGCTTTCCTACAGCCTGCACGAGGAGATCTGGCTGCGCCGCCCACCTAGCTTCACTGGGTCGTTTCCTGTAGGTACCAAGTGGAGCCTCCGGCGGCCAGTCTACGGTCTCCGCCAGGCGCCCCACGAGTGGCACTACACACTGAGGACGACTTTTGCGGCTCTTGGGTTTGCTCCTTCTACTTCTGACTCGTCGCTGTTTCTACGCACCGACACTTCGCTGCCGCCGTTCTACATCCTCGTGTACGCCTACGACTTGGTCTTTGCCACTACTGACACAGCTGGACTGGCCCTAGTGAAGTCGGAGTTGCAGAAGAGACATACGAGCACAAACCTGGGTGAGCTGCGCAGCTACCTTGGCTTGCAGATCACCCGGGACAGAGCACGCCGCACCATTACCTTGACTCAGTCACACATGGTGCAGCAGGTCCTTCAGCGCTTCGACTTCAAGTACTCCTCGCCACAGTCCACTCCTCTGCATACCGGTCACTCGTTCTGAGCTCTGCCTTCATATGAGTCCGTAGAGCCGAGTGGCCCGTATCCAGAGCTTGTGGGCTGCCTCATGTACCTGATGACCTGCACTTGACCTGACCTTGCTTACCCTCTTAGCATCCTGGCACGCTACGGTGCGCCTGGGAGACATCGACCAGAGCACTGGAAGGCCGCTAAGAGGGTGATGCGCTACTTGTGTAGTACGTGGGGCATGGGGCTCGTGCTTGGAGGACGGGGTCCATGTGTCCTCACTGGTCACGCTGACACGTCTTGGGTTGACGACTTGGCTACGCAGCGGTCGTCACAGGGTTACACCTTCAGCCTTGGCTCCAGCTCTGTTTTGTGGCGGTTTACCCGCTCGCCTTCTGTTCTCAGCTCCAGCTGTGAGGCTGAGATCTACGCAGGGGCCATGGCTGCACAGGAGTTATGCTGGCTCACCTACCTGCTGACCGACTTGGGAGAGGCGCCTCGTTCTCCTCCAGTTTTTTGCGTCGACAAAAAGGCCATGATTGCCTTGTGTTAGGAGCAGAGACTGGAGCACAGAACGAAGCACATCGCTCTGCGCTACTTCCTTGCTCGAGAGTTGCAGGAGCGTGGTCAGCTTCGTCTGGTTTACGTGGCCTCTAAGGCCAACACTGCTAATATCTTCACCAGGGCACTTCAACCTTGTAATTATCAGCGTTTTTGTACTGTTCTAGGCCTTGTGCCTACTTTGCCTCACTTGCTCACTTCTTGACTTTGCTTGTACTGTGATCTATATCTGCATGCTTACACTTGCTAGGTTGTGATCACTGTACTGCTTGTTCTTCTATATATAACTCTGCTTTGAACTGGCCTTGTGGCCGTGCTCGGACTGCGTGGTGACGTTGTGATCCACCCTGAGCTTGACCTTGCCTTGTTCTCTTGCTTGTCCCCCACTTTGCCTATGGGGGTGTGTTAGAACTATGCATTTATATGCTCTAGGGTGTAATGGGGCACTCCTTATGGGGTACAGCCTAAGTAGGTTTTGCCTATACAAACCCTCTACTGCTGTCTTTCTAATCATTCTTGATTCCTACTTTCTGACATGCGGGACTTGTACGCGATTGGCTGAAGGTCGTTACTGAAGTCCTGCAACAGTACTGCTCCCACGGCAATGTCACTTGCATCTATGACCAGTTCGAACGGGCGGTGTGGGTCGGCGATGTGCAGTACGGGTGGCGAGCACAGACTTTTCTTGAGGGCCGAAAAGGCAGCTTGCTCTTTCTCCCCCAATGTATACTCAACCCCCTTCCTCAACAAGTCGGTCAATGAGGTAGTCAACTATGCCATGTCGGGGACGAATCGTCGCACGTAGTTGACGAACCCCAAGAAACTCTGCAGCTCAGTCAAGTTTGTCGGCGCATGCCATGCTTGAATTGTCACGATATTTTTCGGGTCTATTTCCACTCCGTCAGCTGAAATAATATGCGCTAAAAACTCAAGTCTGTCTTGTAGATTCTCACACTTAGAGGCTTTGGTTAGTAGGTGGTTCTCACCCAGTATTTAAAAAACAGCTTCGATGTCATGTAGGTGCTGTGGATCGGTATATCGTCTAAGTAGACAATCACGAACTTAACAAACAGTGGGCGGAAAGCTTTGTTCATGGTCATTTGGAAGGCGGCGGGGGTGTTGGTTAGTACGAAGGGCATTATGGTGTATTTGAACGATCCGTAGCAGGTGCGAAAGGCGGTTTTCGGGCAGTCGAGTGGACTGACTCGGATTTGGTGGTAACCTCCCCGAAGGTCAATTTTCGAGAAGACTCGGGCTGTGCAAAGTTGGTCGATCAATTTGTCGGCTCGTGGGATGGGGTAACAGGACTTTATGGTAACTCTATTCAGTGCGCGGTAATCTATGTAGATGCGATTTCCCCCATGTTTTTTTTGTGTGAACAGTATCGGTCATCGCCCTACCTCAATTCGCTCGCCTGAGTCCTCCTTGTATGCCCTTGATTTCACCATTCATTCAATATTTGTTACTTTCACATGGTATCAGAGAGATAAGATCCTATGGGCCCACTGCCATGTACCCTGACCTAGCGCGTAGCGCCTCGTCACAAGTAGCGCCACGTCATCCGCAGTGCCTAGTCACCCGTAGCGCCCCTCTGTCGACCGCGTCAGCCTACTAGCCTCGCCCGTCACCTGTCACGACCTAGAACGGCCCCCGCAAGCCCGCTAGATTGCGCTAGAAAGGGACCCCGTGGGTCCCCCACACGTCACAACCTAGAATGGCTCCCGCGGGCCCGTCAAATCGCGCCCCCGTCGCCCCCCGTCCCCTCCCGGTCACGTCCCCCGTCGCCCTCCGCGTCGCGCCCCCGTCACCCCCCGTCCCCTCCCCGTCGCCCCCCCATCAGCCCCCGTTCCCTTCATGTCGCATTCCCGTCACCTCCCGTCCCGTCCCCGTCACATCCGCGTAACCTCCGTCCCCTCCCCATCACGTCCCCGTCGCCCTCCGCGTCGCGTCCCTGCCGCCCTCCGCGTCGCGCCCCTGTCACCTCCCGTCCCCTCCCCATCGCGTCCCTGTCGCCCGTCGCCTCGCGTCCCCATCACCCTCCGCGTCGTGCCCCCGTCACCTCCCGTCCCCTCCTCGTCGCGTCCCCATCGCCCTCCGCGACAAGTCCATATCGCCCTCGGGTTTGCGTCCCCGTCCCCCCCCGTCCCCATCCCGTCACCTCCCCGAACCCTGTGCATGCAGCCCCACCTGAAACCAGCTGCTAGAAACACCCCATCAGCGCCAACAACTGCTAGGAACGCCCCAGCAGTGCCAAAAGCTACTAGAAACGGGCCAGTAGCCCCACTTGTCCCGCCCCACCCTGGGCCCGCCGCCCCAATCTGTACTCGCCGCCCATATCTGCCCAGAACCACCCAGGACCGCCCATAACCGGCCAGAACCGTCCAGAAACGTCTAGAACCGCCCATAACCGCCCAAAACTGCCCAGAAACGCTCCCCACCGCTCTAGACCTGCCGCCAGAACCAGCAGCAGCATAGGCTGCCCCCAGGAGAACCAGCACCAGCATTGACTCCCCCCAGCAGCACCAGCAGAAGCATAGGCTGCCCGCAGCAGAACCAGTAGCAGAATAGGACGTAGCCAGCTACCGCTCCTAGCCGCTCCCCACCGCGCTCGGCCGTCCCTAGTGCCTACCATGGCGTGTACTAGAGTTCTGCAGCAGCAGCAGGGTCAGCCGCAGCGACAGCACTCCCGGCAGCGGGGACCTGAGGGTCCTAGAAGTACCAGCCGCAGCAGCGACTCTGTCAGTAGTGGGCGCGACGTCGGTCCCTGCAAGTGCCGGATCCCGACTGGCCCGGGTGCTGGCACCACCTGTTGGAGTCCTGACCACTCTGCGTCCCGCTG